TAGGAAGTTATAGAGATTACCACAATACTGAACTTCAAGCTTCCTCATTCATTAATTTTCTAAACTGGACATTTTCAAGCCACACCTCTCCTCTCTCTCCTCAGAGAAATAATGGTGTGGCTTGAAGTAAGATTCTCCCCCAGGCTAGATGAAGTCAAGTTTACCCTGGCTTGATGCTGTCCTCTTGGCTGCTGTCTTGCATTACTCCATTATACACAGGCTTTTCCCAGTTTTCGTGGTTTTCAGTGTATGTGTAGAATTCTCTTCAGGTTGTATCCCTTTACTCCTTTAATTGTCCCACATATATAGACACCATAGTCTGTCCCTGGGGACAACCAAAAGAAACAACATTGGTTTAAGTTTCTCCAGAAGGGCATCAGTTCTGGAGTTCTCACAATCCTGAAGTCAATTCTTTTTTTATTTTTTATTTTATTTTTGTGTAGAAGAACTGGGGTGTAGGCCAGAGGTATGGGCAGGGGCGAGGGGATTCCCCAAAGACAGAGTGGGGAGCAGAACAGGCAGATCGACGAAGTACACTGCTGAGGGGAGCAGCGGGCGGGTCAGGAGAGGTCTGCCACGCCATGTGGTCACCTCCGGGGCAGGCGGCAATCGAACTCATGCGGAAGTGGCTTTAGCTTCTCAGTGCTGTGTTTTAACCCACTGCGCCACCAGGGAGGGTCCCGAAGTCAATTCTTTAAAGATACATTCACTCCAGCTGCAAGTCCTAGGGGATGAAAGTAGGGCAGGGAAAAGGGCGCAGAGCAATCTTCACCGTCCTCAACATACCAATGCTGAAGTTGATAGCTCCCCTTTACCATGTGCCAGGCTAGGCTAGGACCTCACCAGTGTGTGGGAATGCCAGGTTATTAGGTATATCTCATTTCAAAGGCCATTGTTTTACTACCACCCAAAAGGATTCTGTATATTTTACATAAAATGTCTACTTAGAAAGAAGCAAAGGAGAGAATGAATACAACTGCATTTATTTTTTTAACTAAGCTTTAGTAAGAATAGTAGACAGCTGAGAGTAGCTTAAACAATAATAACTGCTAACATATGTGAAATTCTGTAAGAAGAGATTGTTTCCATTTTAATAATATTTTCTGACACCCTTTTTTATTTTTCTTTTGGACGAACTCATTGAAGCCTGATTTTAGATGTGACAATTTTTTTCTCCCTTGAAAGTAACTGGGTGGCAGGTTACAGTGAATCTGCTATGAATGTTGTCGAAACATGTGAGAGGGGAGAGATTCATATGGAATACACAATTACAAATTTCTTTAAGTCCAATTTCATTGTGCTTCTACACATCTGGATAATTAACCAAGCATTACATTCTTGCTAGACTATTTTTACAAGTACAATATGCTTCTAACATGATTTCCATTAGGCTGTTCCAAACATCATTTAAGAACTCAGAAAGATTGCAGACCAAGATTCAAAACCACTATTCAACTGTGGTGTTGAGACCTTTTTTCTCTCAAGGGGGAAATAAAAGATTGAGAACTGAATTCTAAGCTCCTTCTGATGTAAGAGGAAAACTGGAGGTTTATTGCTTCTTTAAGTTAAGTTCCAGCAAATACAAGCATCTACAAACACACTCTAACGTCTCTGGCCTATACTGTCCAAGGTGGGCTTAGAATATGGCCTTGGGGGATGAAGGGTGGAGGTGGGGAATGAACCAAATAAGAACAGAGCTGGAAATTGCAGCTTGAACAAGGACAGACTAAAATCCCAATGGTTAATCTTGTTAGAATTATTGTGTTAGATAAATAGGTTTGTCTGGCTAGGTTCCTCATTTGAAAGTCACTGCTGAATGCTAAAATAATATGTGTTCAGATAGTTCCTGGCACACTCTGCCTCTGCCCTTTTATAATACCTTTGATGCTGCTCCGAGCTTTTATGAGGCCAGGGTCTGAACCCATGGAAGGTTAGTGTTAACTCACAGACTTCAGGAGCTGCACTGGCCAGCTGCTGCCCACATTGGTGAACACAAGTGAGAGATCAGAGAAACCACAGGACTGATAGTTGTGGTTGCTATTGTTCTCTATATTGTTAAGGGCTGAGGAAAAGATACAAGAGTTCCCAAAATTACAGGATCACAGCTATAAGTACTAAGAGATCATATAGTCGCTTTCTTAATCACTCAGGCAACCACACCTAAATTATCCACCCCCTGAAAATAGGAGGTCCTATTCTATATGTTTAGAAAGAGGAAAACTAAGTAAAATAAAGCATGCTTGATTTATCATCTCATTGTCTTTTAAAATGCTGCAGTGGTCAGAGAAGGTTATATTGGGAAATAAGTGATTCAGGAAAAGTAAACAAATCTGACCTCACCAAAAAAAAAAAAAAAAAGAGAGAGAGAGAATGGAAATAATTGAGATTTCATTCTAAGCTTTCAGTATCTGTTTTCCATAACATAATCTTACAGTTTTCTACTGTGTGACAGCCTGAGTCACTCCACCAGTGGAATGATGAATGAAAAAAGCAGTGAAGGATTTGTCACACTGGCACAAGCCAAATAAGGGTGAGGTAGCCATTAGAAAGCAAATTGTGTAGTGACATGTCCTTGTTAGGTTAGCTGATGTGACTGGACGTTGAGGAATCGTTTTGAATGTGGTGAGAGAACTACCAGTCTTGCTGTTATCTATAATGGCCAGCTTGGCAAGTGTGTGTTAGATAAGCCCACGGTTGGGCCACAACTGGAGAGGGACCGGAGAGCCATAATCTATTCCAGAAACATTGACTGAAATGTATTTTGATTTGAGAAGTAAGGAGTCTGGAGGCAGCCACTCCTGAGTTGAATGCCCTCAAGGCACATGAGGAAGTGCAGATGCTTGCTCTCATCATTGTAAGACAGGGGGAGTGACATTAATCTTAAACTGGCTCAGAATAAAGTAAGTAAGAATCCTCCCTGGTGGTACAATGGGTTAAAACACAGCACCATGAAGCTGTCTGCAGCCACTGCAGCACAAGATCAATGCCTGGTCAGATAGCTGACCCACATGGTGCAGCAGACCTCTCCTAGCCAGCCTGCTGCTCCCCTCAGCAGTGTATTTCAGTAGATCTGCCTGTTCTGCTCCCCACTCTGTCTCTGGTGAATCCTCTCACCCCCTGCATCTCTGGCCTACACCCCAGGTCTTGTATGCATAAATAAATAAATTTTAAAAAAAGAGGATGAAATAACCTAATTTATAATAAATGTTCAGAAACTGAGAGGTTGTTCCTACTTAATTATCTGCTTAGATATATCCCCAATAACATGATGATGGTAAAGGGGAAGATGTCATAAAATGTGGATGTTTTAAACATTTGTCATCATTACCTACATAACAATTGAAGTATGAACATATCCTTCCATTTCAAAGTCAGAGATGTTTTATTGACAACTGATTGATACTATCTATGCAGACTATTTTTTTCAGTATTTGTATTAATTTCTAGTAGAGAAAAAATATTTAGAAATAGTGTTATCTAAGTCATTCATTTGTCAAAGATGTTTTTGTGGACTTACTATGTGTCAGGCAATGTATCCATTGTAGGAATAATAATTATGTAACGGTAGACTTTGACTTATCACATTTGAGTCATTTTCCATAATCTATTATCAAAAGAAATTATAACTTGACAAGGCAAGCTTTGTGCTTAAATTTTGTCTAGGTGACCAAGGAACATTTCATTTATAGAAATAAGGGTATTAGCCGCATGGATATCTGGGGGAAGAGCATTTAAGTTTAGGAACAACTAATTTAGCGGTCCTGGTGGAAGGAAATATAAGGACCATTTATGATTGTGTCCTAGAGGGGCTGGCGGGGAATGTGCAAGAGGATAGTAGGGGATAATGTCAGCGAAGGAGCCAGATGGTGTTGTGTATGTTACACCTCCCAAAAAAAGCATTTTGCTTTATTCTGGGGCTGGATGGGAAATCATTTAAAGAAGTGGCATGACCTGATTTATATTCTGAGGAACTACAGTCTTAAAAATAGACAAGACAAAAGGAAGGGCAAAGCCAGAGGGCCACTTAAGAGATTACTGTAATGATCCAGTGGAAAGAAGATGGTGACCTGGAACAGGGTGATGAAGTGGGGTATGAAAGGCACTGAATTCCAGACATATTTTCATAGAACAGGTAGAGTGAACAAGAATGGTTCATGGCCTTTGGGGAGTGTAAGAAACAGTGATATAAAGAATGCCACCAACACTTTTGGTCTGAACAGCTTAGAACAGAGTTAGTTAGCATCAACCAAAATAGAGGCTGTAGATTGGGAACTTCATTTTGAGCATGTGATGTTTAATATTGGACATACAAGTGGAGATATCAAGAAGTCAACTTTTTGATTAAAAAAATAATTATTTGTAAACATTACTGAACCAATGGTAGTTTTGTTGTTGTTGTTGTTGTTTTCAGCATCGTCTAAGAGCAAATTTATTATTATGTTGTCAAGGGAAATGGTGTTCACAAAATATTTTGAAATCAAGAAAGAACCTTATGTTGGAAAAAATGAAAACAAAGTATAGTTTCAAGTAACAAATTTTTAGTGGCCAATCAATATTATTTTCCTCTTCCTTTAATATATGTAAACTTCAATTTTTGCATATTATATGTGTTTCAAAATCTTAATTTTGGTATTGAGTTTTTTTCTTTTTGAATAAAGCTTTTAGTGGAACTTTCTGGTAAGAAAGATCCTCTTAGTGGCAAAATTGTGTTCACTGGTCCATGCTATTTTATTTTGGAAAGAAATTAGAATATTTTTACTACATGTTCACTGCTTTTTTGAACCAAGTTTTGACTAGCATGTCACTTGATACTATTGGGAACAACAATAGAAGTGAGAAACGGAATCTTTACTATTGTGGAATTTACAATGTGACATGAAGACATACATAATACACTTCATGTGGAAATATTGCTGTTTCGTTGTTATTTAATTAACCTAAACATGTAAGTTTACTAACATCAGTTTGTGATGGTTCATTTTAACTTTCACCCTTCCCAGTCTTATGCAGGGAAATACGTACCAGCCATTGCACACTATATCCACATCCTCAACCCCAGGATGGAGATGAAGATCAACTTGAAAGGAATTGCCCTTGGAGATGCTTATTCTGATCCTGAATCTGTAGGTGTCTGCTTCTTCCTCTCCATTTTGTTCCCTTAGGAGATTACATCCTCTTTGATCTCATGACAGACTCCCCTTGCTTTAATGTCTTTCCTCAAGACTTCGCTTGATAAAAAAGATGATTTTGCCCAGTTGACTTGCTAATAACTTAAGTCTTCTAATTGTTTTCAAAGGTTAAGGTGTCAGTAAGTTGGTTGTGAGCACAAGTGTGTGCATGTTGGGTTTTGTATATGTATCTGTTTATATGTTTTATGTGTTGTTGTGTGGTAGTTGTTTGTGTTTCTTTTGTATGTGTGTGTTTTGTGTGCTCTATGTGTATGTGTGTCTGTGCATTGGTGTGTATACATTTGTGTGGGTATAGCTGTCTGTGTTGTTTGTGTGTTGTGTGGTATGTGGTTTGTGGATGTGTTAGTATCTTGCTTGGCTAATTTCAGCACAAGATCAGCAAATTACAATCACCAAGTAAATGGTTTTCCTTAACTTGTCTCTTTTCTCTCCCTGTGGTGTTTGCGTTTGTCTTTTTTCTTCTCAGATCATAAGGGGTTATGCAGCATTCCTATACCAAATTGGCTTGTTGGATGAGGAGCAAAGAAAGTACTTCCAGAAGCAGTGTGATGAGTGCATAAAATACATCCAGGAGGAGAAGTGGGCTCTTGCCTTTGAAGTGAGTTGGGGGGTGGGCTGCATGCCCTGGAGCAATGAGAACCATCTGAGGGGGTCCTAGGAGCCTGGATGCCCAGGCTCTGTTATTGTTGTCATTAGAGAAGGTTTATCTGTCTTGCTGCCCAAGATGGGGAGGTGACAGGAGCAGGCTGGTAATGAAAAAAGAACTGTCCCTGTTTCTTGGAATTTACTTTGGCTATATTTTCATCCTAAGATCACCTTGGGGTGTTTATTGAACTGTGTCTTTCATTAACTGTTTTGATTTCCTTAAATGCTGTGGAGGCCCTAAAGGCATACCCTATCATAAGGAAATCAGAAGAAAGGCGACCTAGAAAGTGGATGCATATGCTTCAACATATGCTCTAAACCCTTCAAAAGTGCATGATCCAAACACAGCATTTCAGCTGGAAGTGACCACCAAATGTAACAAATGTCACATGTTCCTGTGTGTCAAGAACAAAGAGTATAAAGTGTGGTAATTTGAAACTATTACAAAGAACCATAGGCTTTGTAAGTATTGTTACTTTGCTGTCCTAAAATTGAGTTTGAGAATCGAATAATACGATAATATTCTTTACACACACCCCTTTTTTGGTTGTTATTTAAAATGTAAGTCTATACAGAATATTAGGAGACAGGAAGTTGGGTTTTTGCCAACACAGACAAAGATCTTGTGAAAATCTTCCTTAGGGGGATTTTCCACCATTACTATGGAGCCATTGTATTTGACACATTAGTAAATGAGGCAAGGATTGAATTTTGAGGACTTTAATCTTTTTGTTATTGGAAGCACATCCTGTAACAGTTTGCCTAATGGCATTATTGTTCTATAAGGCCTGGGAGTAATAGTCTTCTAGGCACTGCAAGCCAGCCTGTTCAGATCAGAAACAGGAGATATATAAACAAATCTTGGGGGGGGGGGTTAGCACAAAGTTATGTCCACCTTCAAGGAGGATGTAGGGCACTATGTGAAATTTCCCAAGGCAGTGACTGCCCTTGCTGTGAATTCTGATAGTGGCAAGTTGTGCAAATAGAGAGTGCAGGGAGCTCCCAGTCATCCTGCAGGATGCTAACAGGCTCTCCTTTCTGTGTCAGGACAGCAGATGTGACTGGTGAGTGTGGATTCAGAATTGCTGGTGCAGTTGTGAATGCATAGGAAGAAGGACCTTATTGGGGACATAGAGGATTCTTTAACTTCAATGAAAATATTCTCAAAACAGGTTTTAGGCTGTCTGCTATGGGAGATAGAGACAGTAAAAGGAACTTTTAGAATTTAGAATTAATATCAAATTTTATGTCACACCAGAACAGTCTGCATGTGAGAGATTTGATATGTTTTTGAAAAAGCATACAGGGATTAGTAATGTCAAGAGCAAGAACATTTGATAGGCCCTGAGGGATGAGAAAGCAGAAAGATGTCTGTGGCACATGGTGTAACAACCGAAAATGCTCAGACATTTTGTGTATTCAGAAATAAGGAGAAGATGGGCAGTAAGGCTCTTTTTTCATCTGAAAAAAGAGAAAAAAAAAAAACCTGCCCAGAATTCTTGAAGGTAGCAATATTACCTGAGAACATTATTCCAATGTTCATATTTTGAGTGATAAGTTAAAACATAAAGACCTTTGTTTTTTCAAAGGAAACAGAAAAAATTACTTAGGAAAGCAAGAAACTAGTGGTGATAAAATGTGTTTCAATTAGTGCAAAAACTGCTGAAGTTCCACAGAATACAAATGTCAAAATCACAAGCCACACAGTATATTCTTCTATAGTAATGTAATGGCATTCTATAAAAATTTCCAGTTCTGGAAGAAGACTGATCTCTATATTGTCTTCCTAGTTGTGATGATGTTCTGGGTCACAGAGTTACTTTGAGAAACAAATTTGGATCAGAAACTAGAATTCACAAAACTTGACCATATACCACTTGACAGCAAGTGGTTTGTTAATTTTGTAATTAAATTCATTCTTAAATGTTGGATTTGTATTCCCAATGATGAAGATAATTTATAAAAATAAATTCCAAAATGCTGCCTGCATTAGGGATTAACATACGGTGCCAACTCTGGGTGAATAGGTTTGAAAAACACACTTTCTCTGGGCTCACACAGTTCTGTGAATAGATACCACCAGTGTGTGAGTATAAAAAGGGGTCATTTCTCTAAATACTGCTTTGAGGCAGGCCATCCAATTTGCCAAGCAAGCTAGGTCACCTATTCCCTCTCACACCTCAGCCAGAAAACCCCATGTCATGCCTTCTGCACAGTCAGATTCAGTAGCCCCAGGCAATGGATTGCATTGCTAAAGTTCCTAGCATCCACCTTTCCATCCTGAGGATCCTGTTAATATTTGCTCCCTAACAGCATGCAACAGTAACCTGGATAGATTCCATCATGTTTGAAAAAGAAAATTATTCTATTACATAGTCTATTTAATATGAAATTATTCATATTAAACCCAAAAGCATGACCACAAGAAACTGAAGACTAGGAGACATTATGGTCTATTACTGAGATGCGTGTATGTGTGTGTGGCGCGCATGTGTGTGTGTAACAAGTGACCAAGTGACTTAACCTCTATATCCCTCAGTTTCCTCACCTGTACGGAGGTGAGAAGAAATACCTGACTAAGAAAACTAAATGCATACTTAATACGTGGTTTTAAAATGTTCGGAATTTACTTCTTAAAATCATTTACCCAGACCTCTTTAAAACTCTATGTGTAGGCATTTCATCTTGTTTGCCCCATTCCTGCTTCTCCCCTGAGGGTGCTATTTCCCTGAGATTCTCTCAAATGGGTGCTGTCTCTCTCTCTTACTTCTGTGTTCTTTGTTTCAGTTAGTGTTAGTTCCTCACTGCTGCTTCCAGATCATGACTCTCCCTCCTAAAGCATTGAACGGTGAATCTCATGACCTCACGTGACACACACACACTTGTAGTGATGGGCCACCTCATGACTTACTCCCCTTTCTCTGAACCTGTTAGCTCTTGCCTTATTGACATTCTCCATCATTATTCATGTTATCAGTTCTGGTGATTATTTTAATACGTGGTCCCTGGGTTCTGTAACCTCCTCTTTCAGTGACCCTATACTTCCCCTTACCTTATCTGTTAATAATTCCAACTTTTTTTTAAAGTCCATAATCAATCTATAATTTTATATTCAGACCTTTTCCTTTAACTACCACCTCCCATCCTCCCTCTCTCCCCTGTATATGTTTACCCACACTAATGTTTTACACCTTTTCTCCCCTTCTCTCCCAACCTAGGTCCTGGACAAACTGCTAGATGGAGACTTAACGAGTGATCCTTCTTATTTCCAGAATGTCACAGGATGTTCTAATTACTACAACCTTTTACAGTGCACGGTAATGAAAGCATTTAAAGACCAATGATATTGGTTGCATAAAATTTTTGGTAGAAACAGAATTCCTCTGATTCAGGAAATACAACTGATTTTCTATTAAACAAATATCTTGCATTAGTTGTTCTACTGATCTATAAGGTTTTCCTCCATCAATGTAAACATTATAATCTGTTCATTGAGAATATGTGATACTTCGGATAACTCAAAACTGTTTCAGAGTTACACTATTTCTCTCCCACTAAAGTTTGGTATAGAGGTTCTTTTGTGAAGGATGGAAGTCAAGCTTGAAGTTCTGAGTGTCAGGTCCCAGAGTCCAAGCCTGTAGTGAGATTCCTGAAAATGCTTGCATTATTTGTTCTGTACTTAAGACAACTTGGATAATCAAAACAGCCAAAGTCTTTATGAAAATATTTGCTTTGTCTTTCTTTTAACTTAAAGTGTTTTGTGCATTTAATATGGCCCTCAATTCAAGCCCTCTGGAATATTTCTCAAAATATTCAAGCAGTTTCTTTCATAAAAGTAGGTCAAAGTTGATGCCTTTTGTGTAGAATTAATCAAATAAGACAAAGGGAGCTAAATGAGGATTTGAATTTGTATAATCTTTGTCTAGTGTATAAGACAAAGCATTCTGTTTTTAAAATGCCTTATTTATGAACTACATTGTAAATAAAATGTAAAACTAATTTCAATGGAATTCAGCAGCCCTGTGGTTTTGGCTTTGGAAACTACCAACACAAAAACATGTGGTAGTCAAGAGAGAAACAAAATTTTCTGTTATTTTTTTCTTTACAAATCAATGTATTCACAGCAAAAATTGATGATACACAGCTTTTGAGTTTAAACTCTAAAAGCTCTTTAAATATTTTGTAGCCTTTTAAAAGAGCACTTATTACTTTTTCTTTTAATGAAATGAATATTACAGAGCTCTAATTGCAGATTTCCAAAAATATGGCTCATGGACAACTTTTCATCTTATGTCCTTCATAAATTAGTCATCTGTTTTTACATTTGATGTATTTTCCCCTTAGTTATTATGACTGTGTTTGTTTTCAATAAACAACAGACTGTGGAAAAGAAATCAGCTTTTCATGTACCGCCCCATCTGGTCCCTTGACCTTCTTTCCAAGGAGGAAATTGAGTTTGATAATCTTACCTTTCTTGGTTTCCCTGCCTTTGTCTTGATTAGGGTTGCTCATTGGATACAATGATTGCAAAAGATTAGTTTCCAAAAAGGAAAATTGAGCATTTGAAAATCATAAAGTGGCTCTGAGAGTGTCAGATCTTCAGTATTAGTAGTTAGTAAAATTGCCATTACCTCAAAAGCCCCAAAGTAAAAATTTCAGGGTGGGGATCAGTGAAAAGTACTGTCAGAGCTAACTTGTTCATTATGGTATATGACCCACATATAAGTATATGTGTATTGGTTTACCTATATGTGAATACCAGTGTGTAGCATTATGTGAAGTGTGAAGCTATTACCATGGCCTAGTCATGTTTCCTAATAATTTTCTGATGTCCTTTTCTGCCAGGAACCTGAGGACCAAAGTTACTATGGGAAATTTTTGTCCCTTCCTCAAGTGAGACAAGCCATCCATGTGGGGAACCGGACTTTTAACGATGGATCTGAAGTTGAAAAGTACTTGCGAAAAGATACAGTACAATCAGTTAAGCCGTGGCTAACTGAAATCATGAATAATTATAAGGTAAGATAGTTATCTAAGTTACTCTTTTAGAACCTCCTTTCAGAATGGAGGGGATTTTAATTGTAATTTGACTCTGAACATTTTTTTACTTTTACTATTTTGTTGTCCAGTCTCTTTGAATTAAAGAGATTTATTTTATTTTTGTCCTTTTATTTACATTACTTTCCCCTGACAATTCTTGAAGATGCCATTCTCTTTGGCACATGCCCACTCATCATTTTTTGAGAAAAGAAATATAGCAGAGCCAACACTGGCCCTGTGAACGTCGTTTTTTTCTTTTTGTTTTCTTTATAATATTAATCCCAATGAAGTTAGTGATAAATGGAATCAACTGGTTGTTATAAAATGTGTTTTTGGATAGTTATATTCATTTGCATTGTTCAATCATAGTTTTTTCAGTATCTGCTTTAAGCCAAACCTTGTGCTAGGCTGTTGAAATGATGAATGAAAAAGTGTCCCTATTTTGAGACTTGTAAAGTCAAACACTATGTTATCTGCTTGAGTTTTTCTGCCTGATCTGTTGCTTAAGTTTCCAAAGAGAAGTGAATGGTGGAAAGGAAACCCCAAAGGGTCAGACAAAGGAGCATGACTCTTAGAGCTCTCATTGTGAGGGGTGACACCAAACACAGGCAGCACAGCGGAATGATTTCCTGTGAGTTTCTTTCCTGCTCACCTCACTTCTTTCTTAGACCCTCCCAGCTTGTTACTGTCTGTCCTTAGACTTGGTTTTTGGGGCAACTCTGCAGATTAGGGTGCTGATGGCAGAGACCACTGTCTGAGGCCATCCACTCTTTCTCTATGTCCTCTAACATTGGAGATGAGCAAAACACAGGATAGCCAGTAGCCAACACACATCGTACCAGTTACCAGCTCAAAGTCCCTCTCTCAAGATCTTCATTTTCATCTATCATAACATCATTGTGATATACTGTTTTATTTGACTAAGACATCTGCCTGCCATTTTCTGGCACTAGGGATACACATTTCCACAATGTTTATGTTAGAAATAGTGTTCCTTGGGATTTTTCAGTGTTAAACCTTTGGCAATGTTCAGGGAGTCCCTGAGTAGACATACCCTTAGAAGATGACAGACCTAGATGGCCTGTTTTGAGTTCTTCCAAGAGTATATGGAGTTTGAGTACCTACACATACAATCCTTTCTGAAAATATTAAGGCCAATGGCATAGAGACTAAAATCATTTTATAAATTTTTAGAACTTGATACAATACTAGCTAGGAAAGAATAGGTCTAACTAGATGAGGTCAGCATTTCAACCATCTTCATGCTTGGTTCTTTTGGGGAACATAATAGCCTTTCGTGCTTGCTTGCTTGCTTGAAGTCTTCTCCAACACCTTCACAAAGCATTGCTTGTTGGCCTCTTGTCGTCACTCTATGTTGTCTCTACTTCTTTCATCATATTAAACATCCTCCACTGTCACTATGGGCTCTTGTTCCAGCACTATCTGAGCAGATGTCAGCAACAAATGAATTTTAAAAAATCAGTTTTCCTATAAGTTATTGCTATACTAAAAATTTATCTAGTAAACTTGTCTGCCTACTCCTTTTTTTTTAAAAAAAAAAGGTATCGGAGTGTAAGAGTATTCACCAGAGACAGAGTGGGGAGCAGAACAGGCAAATGTACTGTAATACACTGCTGAGGGGAGCAAGCAGGCAAGACAGGAGAGGTCTGCCACGCCATGTGGTTCACCTCCCTGGCTGGGGATCAAATTCACACTGCAGTGGCTATAAGAGCTTCATAGTGTGCAGTGCTTTAACCCATTGCGCCATTAAGTATTTGTTATTCAAAAATTCATTAACCTCAAAAGAGCTTAGTACTCATTTCTCCAAGTTATAAATAATGTGCTCCAAGTTATAAATAATGTGCTCTAGCAGGCAAGGAAGTTCCCATGAACCTTTATATGTGCCTTTGAAAACTATATTTTCTTACTGTGTAAATTTAACTAGAATTTTATTCCTTTCTCGATCAAGGAAGGTTGGGGTGAAGCATATAGTTGGCCTGATTATTTAAACTTGCCTGATGCTGGTTAATCACCATAAAGTGTCCACCACTTGATTGATAAAGCAGAACATACTAATTAGGTCTTGCATCTGAATATGGAAATATTTCTGTTTCTGCTGCCCATGGATCCTAGACTTATCTATATAAATTCCAGTGAAATCAGAATTTTTTGACTCTGAATTAATTGACAGAAAATGAGAATAGTGATACAGAAAATCTGTTTCCATGCACAAAGAGAAGTATGCAGTCAGTCTGAATGCAGACCAAGAAAGTGGCTGCTGCTAAAACAGACTGCATTTGCATTGCAACAGCTGCCATAGCCCACATGGCAGTGGTTATCTTTGACTTGTCAGATGATGTTGGTCAACCTCAATATATATGCAGTGGAATCAGAACAACATAAGTTGGCTTAAAACATTAGTGCCCTCAGAGTTTTATTTATATAAGAATCAGTGTTAATTTTTCATAGAAAATATACATGAATTTCTATTTAGAAGAACACAGGTGTCCTTTTCCAGTACTAGATTCATTTTAGCCAATATGGAATATATCTGATGGGCTAAGCAAAACTTTCGTTTTGGGGGACTGGTAAAAAACATCTGACATAACAGATTTTGTGTAGTTTACATAAAAACATAATCTTTTCCTTGTAAGTAACTATGGGGAATGTGTATTCAGAATCATTCTCCTTTCAGTGCACTATTTCACATGTTTGGTTGATAAATTAAAATATCACTTAACAATTTAGAAGTAATTTGTTGGGCTATGGGAATTCTCCATGATTAAGTCAGGTCATGATTTCACCAGGACAGGACCCTCAGATATAGCGGGGACAAAGAGCCTGGCTCTTATGTTAGGCATTTTGAGTTTGAATTTTGGTTCTACCATTCAGTAACTGTGTTTCTCTCAGGGAATATACATTCTGAATATGTTCTGTGTCTGTACCTATATCTTCCCCATAATAACCTCATATGGGTTTTTTGTGTGAATTCTTACGAGATTTAATAGATTATGAATGTAAAAACACTTAGAAAAGTTCAAAAGATAGACTACTTATATATATATATATATATATATATATATATATATATATAAACTACTACTTGTGATGTTTAACACATTTTAGCAAATATTTTTCCTTTAAAGATATGTTTTTATTTATTTGTACATACAAGAACTAGGGTCTAGACCAGAGCTGTATGGGGGGCAGAGGGATATGGTGGTGGCAAGAGATTCACCAGAGAGAGTAAAGAGTAGAACAGGCAAATCTACTGGATATACTGCTGAAGGAAGCAGCAGGCGAGACAGGAGAGGTCTACTGTGCCATGTGGGTCACCTCCTGGGCTGGAAATCAAAATCATGTTGCAGTGCTGATGATAGCTTGATAGCATTGAGACTTAATCCCTATACTACCAGAAAGACCCTTAGCAAATATTCTTAAGCATCTACTATATACAAAAGTTAGACAGGAAATCCTGGAAAATACAAAAATAATAAAGACTCAACAGACTTCTGGCATGTAAGAAGCACAGAAGTTATCACTCTATTCTAACACATAAAAACTAAACAAACTGACAAAATCAACAACTCTTCTTAGATCTGTGAGCAAAGTGATATCATAGAATAACAATTTCCTTCCCCACAAATTGGAGTGATAGGTGGGTTACAGAGAATCACAATTTATCTGAACACAAGCCTCTTCAGGAACCAGTGCTGGGGTGGAAAAACCTGAAGTGTAACTTGTAAGCTACTGGTGGCTCAATATGGATAAATGTGAGAGTTGGGAACTTCAAGGGGACTCAGTCATTAAAGTCACCACTATTTTGTGAGGTTTATTTCCAGGAACTCTTTAGTACCTGACTATGAATATTAGAGAAAGAAAAAAAACCCCTCTTTTAGGGAAGGTTTGAACTAAGTAGGTGTGGTGAGGAGGGTAGTGTAATAATTTTGGAATATGCCAGAGCATTCTGGGTTTTTTTGTTTTTTTTTTCCAATAAGGCTTGCCCTGAGGAACCTCTTTTTACTAGACATTGAGCTGCTATGATTTGATCAGAGCCTGACCTGCTTGAAAGAAGGAAAATCTTCACCTGCAGCTCCAGTCTTCCCTGTGGAGCAAGGAAATACTCTCTGTTAGCAGATTGAACAAGACTGAGGAAAAATCTTGAGGATATGATGATAGGAAGTTCTAAAACTTTAAAACAAAAAGAACAAACACTGAACTAAAATGGAATATCTACAAAATAACAGTCAAATCCAAAAGATTTAACATGTGCATAATGAAAATATCAGAAAGAGAGATGGACAGAGCATACCATTTGAAATTATAATGACTGAGGCATTTTAGGTATCTGGACTTGCCATGTATATTACTTCTAAAATCACTGCTGGCTTCCTTTGCTTAACATAATGTTTTCAAAGTTCATTCATGTAGTGTGCATCAGTCCCTGGGTTTTATTGTTAGTACTACATAATGGTCCATTGCAGGTTTGTGCCACATTTTGAACAATCCATCCATCATTTGAGGGATGTTTCACTTGTTCCAGTTTATGACTATTATGAACATTGCTGTGGTGGGCATCCATGTACAAGTTTATATGTGGGCATAGCTTTTCACTTCCATTAGGTATGTACCTCAGAGAGGAATTCTTCAATCACAGGGTAACTCTGTATGAAGAACTTCTAATGAGACTGCAACATTGTACAATTCCACCCACCATGAACAAGAGATACACTTAGTCCAGATCCTTTTCTAAATTTATTTTTGTCCAGTGTTTTGATTTTAAGCATCCTGATGAGTGTGAGCTCTATCCCACTGTAGTTTTTATGGGGGTGTCTGATCACAAATTCTGCTGCATGTCTTTCCACGTGCTCTTGGGTACTTCCTTTCCTCTCTTTTTTGGAGAAGTGTCTGTCCAAATCCTCATCAGTTTGTTAATGGTGCTGTCTTTTTGTGGTTGAGTGTAGGATTTCCTTATGTAA